GGGGGGGGGGGGAGCCGCGATGCTAGGGAAGGCGCAGAGCCAGACCGCCAGCAGGCCCTCGGGAAATGGCGGGGGGGGGGGGGAGCCGCGATGCTAGGGAAGGCGCAGAGCCAGACCGCCAGCAGGCCCTCGGGAAATGGCGGGGGGGGGAACGTACACATACCGCATTGAAAAATTCGAAACACACCTATACATCCCCGTCCAAAGGGAGCAGCACCCCCATCCCTCTGACCTCCCCCCCCTCACAGGGCCCCCTGCAGGGCTTCATACCCAGAATCCAGACCAGGCCCTCAGGCTCAGCCCCCCCACATTTTTGGTGCTTTTCCATCCCCACCTACTGACGCTCATCAGCTGCGAGACCGTGAGTCCTCCACAGGCACAGGGGGCAGCAGAGAGCACAGGTGTAGGAGGGACACATTAAGATACATAATCACAGTCCTTACACTGTACTAATGTCCCCTGAGTATGCAGTTCCCCCCCCTTATCAGTGGGTGGCGGCCACACAGCTTTGAAGCCCTTTGGTGACACCCTCCCTCCCCCCCCGAACATCCCCAGAGGTAGTATCTGGTGTGGGGGAGCTTGAGGCCATATTCACATCAAATTAGCCCCCCAACGTACGCCATAATGGTAGGGGGGGGGGGGGGGATGGATCACTACCAGTATCCAAGGGCCAATGCCTTTCACTCTCTCTCTCTCTCTCTCTCTCTCTCTCTCCCACCCTCTCCCTCGGTGCCCTGCTCTCACCACCCAGCAGACTGAGGTGCAGGAAGAGCGTCCTGTGAGGGTGGCAGAGAAATCGGCTCTAAAACAAAAAAATCAGTTACGGATTAAAAAAAAAAGACAGAGAAAAGAAAAGAAAAAAACATGCAGACATAAAGTGCGCGGCGGGGGGATCAGTGTGTGTATCTTTATAGAAGAGATTGAGTTTGTAGGAGGAGAAGATCCTGGGACAGACGGAGCAACACTGCGAGCGACCAGGACAGGAGCAAGAAAGCAAAACCTGCCGTGCAGGAAGCAGGAAGACTGCAGCCGGAGCGGATGCATGCAGCACGGCACTGAAGTGACGGTGCAGCCTAGCCGCTCCCCCCCCTCGGATTTCTGTTTGACGAGTCGCGCCTGAGCATCTCGCTAAAAGGTCGCCCAAAACCACAAACGTGCACCTCTGCACCATCGCGGGGATCCCCGCCCCCCTGCCTCCCCACACCCCTCGACGTCCAAGTGAAAAGCTGATGCCACGGAGCGGCAGAGCGCTGGACTAAGCTTTACGCGCCTAAAGCAGTTCGGAAACACCGAACCGCGAGGAAGAGGAGGAGGATGGGCAGTGAATGAGGAGGGGCCAGGTAACGAGGAGGAGAAGGACGACGAGCAGCGAATGAGGAGGGGTGAGACAGCGAGGAAGAGGAGGGGCTGGACAGCGAGGAAGAGGAGAGGCTGGACAGCAAGGAAGAAGAGGGACTGGACAGGGAAGAGGAGGAGGGGGCGGACAGCGACTCATGGGCCCACACGGCCCCCTGGGGTGACGCACACATCCCGCAGGGCCACGCACTGCATTGCAATCGCCGTGGCGACAGGCCTCGTGAGTCAGAGCTGACGCGGCATGATGTTGGAGCAGCTCGGGCTGGACGAGGCAGAAACGCAGAAGGATGCAGACGTTGCCCATGCTGCTGGCTGCCACCATCACCGTCACAGACCCCCTCTCTGAGACACACCCCGCGGGGGACCCCGGATTGAGCAGGACCCCCTCCCATCATAAGTGTACAGGTCCCCCTGTTTCTCACACCCCCTCCCCCACCCCGTGACCCCTCCCTGGACCTGGCAAATGGCCGGCACCATGCACACGCGACAGGGATCTACCGCCAAAACCGCAACCGATCGCTAA